CGTTTTGAGGATGTTGCCGGTGACGGGGACCCGATTGCGGCACAGTTTCTGAAATGTCTCGACTAGACCTACCGATGGGGCGAATAAAAATTTTTAGTCGGACGGTTCCCTTTTTCGAAGATTGAGTGGATTTTGTTGAATTTAGGCCTATTTAATCGTTTTTGAGGATGTTGCCGGTGACGGGGACCCGATTGCGGCTCAGTTTCGGAAATGTCTCGACCAGACCTACCGATGGGGCGAATAAAAATTTTTAGTCGGTCGGTCCCCCTTTTTTTAAGATTGAGTGGATTTTATTGAATTTAGGCCTATTTAATCGTTTTTTTAGGATGTTGCCAGTGACGGAGACCGGATTGCGGCACAGATTCGGAAATGTCTCGACCAGACCTTCCGATGGGGCGAATAAAAAATTTTTTGTCGGTGGGGCCCCTTTTTTTAAGAATTTAGTGGATTTTGTTGAATTTAGGCCTATTTAATCGTTTTTTGAGGATGTTGCCAGTGACGGAGACCGGATTGCGGCACAGATTCGGAAATGTCTCGACCAGACCTACCGATGGGGCGAATAAAAATTTTTAGTCGGTCGGTCCCCTTTTTGAAGATTGAGTGGATTTTTTTTGAATTTAGGGCCCATTTAATCGTTTTTTGAGGATGTTTCCAGTGACGGAGACCGGATTGCGGCACAGATTCGGAAATGTCTCGACCAGACCCACCGATGGGGCGAAAAAAAAATTTTTAGTCGGTCGGTCCCCTTTTTGAAGATTGATGGTTTTTTTGGGAAAGGGAAATTTTTTTTTTTTGAGTAAAAGGTTTTCCCGGAAGGTTGGGAAAATTTCCCAACCCCCTTTTTTGGAAAAAATTTTTTAATTTTCCCCTTTTTTGGAAATTGGAATTTTGGGAAAAAAAGGTTTAGAAATTTTCCCCCCTTTTTGAGTAAAATGGTTTTCTCAAAGGGGAGGTTTTAATTTTGGGTTTTCCCTTTATAAATTTTGGGTTGGTGGCCGCGGGGGGCTGCCCCCCAAACCCCCCATGGGGGTGGGAGCGCGTGGCCGGGGGGTTTTTTTTCCGGGTCCGGGGGTTGGGGCAAAGGGGCCAAATTTTCAAAGGGAAATTGTCCGGGTTTTTGGGGAAAGCCCCTTTTTAAACCCGCTTTTGACCATATATAAGGTACTTTTACTGCTCAAATAGATAGCTTGTATTGCATTGGCTACTGTGGCAGTCAATGGGTGCATACAAGGTCCGGAAAATATTAAAGACTGCTTTGACAAGGATAGAGGTGAAAGGAACAAGCTAGGGCCCCCCCCTTCCGTCGAACCCAGTTGCCAGCTCCGCTTTGCTGCGCCGGCAAATCGGGTTTGACAGGGGGCCGTCCCAGCTTGGCCTGCCGGCGGCCTTTCCTCGGGCCTCGGCCCTCGCATCAGACCCAACTTGGGCCCGTCGAAGACCCGGGCCTTCGGCCCTCTTTATCACACACCCCCTGAGGGGTTTAAAGGGAAAGTTATCGATTTTACCATCGTGACTTAGGCCCGCCCTTTTATTCACAATATGCAAAAGTCCTTACACTTTTTACTCCAAATGTCCTTAGA